GCATAATGCATCCGAAGAAGTGGGCTGTAGTCCATGAAAGCTTATGCTCTAATAAATTTGTTAGTCTCTAAGGTGCCACAAGTACTCCTGTTCTTCTTTTTAGGCTAAACCAACCCAGTGCTGTGTTTGAATGGAGGTGATCGTTAACTCCAGTGAATGTGGCAAGCTGCTGAGTATTATCTCTTTAACAGAGCAAACAAACCATATTATTTCTCTGAATGGTCTAGGAAAGGGCCGGATGTTGCAGATCACACAGGTTTCTGGGAAAATTTGGGACTGGGGGTTTTGGGGTCATCTTGCTAGGTGTAACCAAAGCTGGTGGAAACCAGTGTAGAGCTGTTGTGTTGTAGGCAGGCTGCTGAGTTTGGTGTACTGAATCCGGGTTGTACAGCACACAGACACTCCGGATACTGCACGGTTGTCTGCTGGTGTCCAGGCTGTGAGCCAGACCAGTTAAAGCAGCCAGTGTTACAGAGCAGGGAGTGACACAAACCCTTACTGGTCTGAACTGCACCTTGGGTTGTGAAAAGGCTACCAGTTGTTTCCTAGCTAACTGCATATCCCAAGAGAGCCTTTCATTTCTAAAACTTCTCCACGGTGCTATGTATTGTGTGCTCTCTCTCTTTGAGCAGTTCGGATGAGAAGAGCTGAGCAGACTTTTAATTTTCAGAAAGGGATTTTAGAGATGGACAGTGAATGGCTGCTCTCTTGCCATTGCTTTTTGGATACCTGGCTATTGACAGAGAAGTCGTTTTTAGGTGTTTATATGCCAGTTTATTCTCTAATATTTTGTGGATTAACTTAATAAGGAGAGAGACTATTATTTTTGCAATCAAACAAAAAGCCAAATTTGTCCATTCCAGACAGGTGCAAGCCGAGTGACTCAGAATGATCATAAAGAAGGGAAATATATTCATTACAGTTTATTTGTTGAGCACCAACATTGTGTACAAGGCTAAGTAAACTTCCCTTTAGAGAAAATGAGTGAGTCATATTTTTCACTGAGAGAACATCTAGCACAAGATCGAATCATAAATACGGATAAAGTTTCCTGTGGTGACTCCTTGGAAACAAGGACCGTTAATAAGCTGAAAAATATGTTCTGTGTCTAAGGTTCCCTCTCAATGAAAACCCTTGCAAACAGGCTTGCATAAAGAACTAGTCACATAGGCCCAGATCCTTGGTCATAATAGAGAGGAACGTACCACTGAGAGGGCATGTGCACAAAGGTAGCGTGTTGTCTCCTTTGCACTGCTATCCTCAGTCAGCTCTGCACTGGTCTGATCCAGCCTCAATCTACAGGCCAGAGCAACATATAGGCTTCTTTAAACTATGCCAATGGCCAAAGACAGCAGCTGGGCCTTGCTGGAGTCCAGGGAGCCCCCCTTTCTCCTGGGTCACGTGCTGGCTCTATCCCTACAGAGGGTCTCCCCTTATATGCACCTCTTCAGAGCTGCTTTGAACTACTGATGTGGCACAGCGAGATCCAAAGTCAAGAGAGAATCTGGGCCCTAGTCAGATAAGTGTTTGTCAGGCAAACTGAAAGGGAAGGCCTGGAGAGAAGACTGGATTCTCTGCTGCACTGAGCTTCCACAGCTGCACCAGGGAGCTGTGTAAGGTGTTAACGCTTATAGCTGGTTACAGTTCCTGCATTCTCAGAGTGGCTCTGTGTGACTCTAGGCCCCAGCACAGGTTAGAGATGCCACGGGGCTGCTCTAACTTCCACCACCTGAGTATGGTCCCTGAGTGTGTGCTTGTTACTCCATGGCCTTGCCCTTGTACCAGCCTGAAAAGCAGACTGGGAGCACTGAAGGGAGAAGGTGGGACTATCAGGAAAGCTGGTGCAGCCTATACCATCCTCCTGTGCACCAGGCTGCGTGGGGAGGGACTGTATGCCCCGAAGCACAATCCTTCCCTGAACTCTCCTGAGGTGGCAAGCCACAGCACTTCCCCTTCAGTACATAACTGTGTCTAGGTGGTTCAGTTTGGCCCTAAATATTATTAAAATCTCACAGGTCAGTGTTATACCCAGCTTATGGATGGGTAAACTGAGGTACAGTGGGAGGGCTGGGTGATTCTGGTACTGAGAGTCAGCGGCTGGACTGGAACTTAAAAGCTCTGATTCCTCATCCCGTTCTAACCACTACAGACCACTCTCAATACAGGAACAATAACTGAAGTGGGAGTATTGAGGTTGGAGAGGAATGTAACTAAAAGGCATGCTAGACTACTTGAAAAGAAGAGCTATTTCAGTCACTGTGACATATTGAACATCCGCCAGATTCAGAGAGGGAGATAAGATGCACATGATATGTCAAAATTGATTGCGTAAGCAGACTCTGACCTTTGTGGGAGTCAAACTAGGGATCCGGAAGGCTCACTGATGGAAGCCCCTTCCTCCTCCTGTGTCTCTGTACGTTTTGCTGCAGCTTTGTTTCCTGGCAACAGGCCAATTATGTGATCTGCTGAAGCAGTGGGCACTGCTCTCCGCCAACAAGAGAGTGGAATAGCTCTCCACTATGCAACCAAAACTATACAATTTTGTGAGTTACCCTCAGACACAATGGCTAACTGAACACCGCTATGAGCTCACTTGCATGTTCTCTCTTCCCCTCTCCCCGGCCCCCCCGACCCCCATTTCCCCTCTGGAATTTAAAAAGGAGGAGAGGATGCTGACATTTTTAGCACATAGAAAGGAATGTTGCTCGGCCAGCCTGTAGATGGTGTGTGATGCATACTGAATGCCAGGTAACACAGTTAACCAAGCCCAGCATCTGGCTGTGTATAACTAGTGCACAGACCTTAACTTTATTTTCTCTAAGTTGTGAGCTAGGGGGCTACAATGCAAATTGCTCACCACTTCTTTTCATTCTTAATTTATTCCCATTTGCACCTGTTGTGTCCTCCAGGTTGCAGGGAAAATTAAACTATCAAAATGTCTCTTAAAACCCCCACAAAGCAATGAAATAAAGAGGATTTTTTCCAAAGGGACTCCAATCCCAGATGTGCTCTAAATCGCTGAGTGCAAAGAAAAATAAAATCCGCTACATGTTAAAGGCATCTTGAATCACCTTGATAAGAAAGCTGCAGGCCCCTTAGGAAAAGTACTCTGGAAATGGAGACTAACGAATTATGTAGAATAGTTGATCATATGCTCTTACTTTCTTCAAAATGCAGATGAGAGCTTTGTGCCCTACATAATTATGCCTTGTAAATTAAAATGTATGTAAATTCTACTGTATATGTATATATTGATTCCTATCCCATCCTCATCACTGTAGTTGCTGAGCGTCTTCCAGTAGGGCATTAAGTGACATGACTAACATTTGTCATGTGGTTCATTCTCATCTTCGCCCTTGGGGAAGAATTGTGTGTGCGGTTAAATGTTTGTTTTGGTTGGGTTTTGTTTTTGGTTTTTTTAAACGTGCACACCAGAGAAGACAGGTTGAAGATATGCACCTTACACTTGGAGTGGAACGTGGTGAGATCTTCGATGGTTCTTAGGGAAATTTACCAGCACAGCTATGCTGGTATAATTATATTGCTAAGCTCTGCTGTACACCTACCTGTGTGGATGCTCTCTTTGGGGATTGAGTGCCTTTTAGTTTAAACCAATTCCAATGAGACATAAAATCAACAACAAAAAAGACACTAAATCTTGAAGAGAGCATCCACATGGACAGTTATACCAGCAAGTTATAACAGTATAATTATACTGGCACATTTCTGCCTGTCCATTTCCCAAAGCAGATATGCCCTTAGTTCGTGTGGAAGTTTGTTCCACAATTTCGGACAGGCCCTCATGAAAGCTCTTTTGCATAGACAAGTGTTACATTGAAAAATGACCTGTAGAATTATGATGGCACTTTAGAGAGGGGTGTGATGATTAGATAATAGCTATTTCTATATTATAATTCTATGATAATTAACATAATTGTCTGCTAAAGCCTTTATTCTTTTTAAAAAGAAATATATGAAACATTATCCTTTACTTGGCCATCCCATCATGAATGTTGCGATGCACTAAAACCGGAGGGTTATTCAACTGCCTCATTTAAATTTGGAATACATGCTTGGGATTGAACTGAATGGCTGCTGAATTCTGTCTTATAGTGCTGTTTAAACAGCAGTTAGCCTCAGTGGGGTTAACACTGCTAGATATGTCTACACTACCGCGGTAAGTCGACCTACGCTACGCAACTCCAGCTGCATGAATAATGTAGCTGGAATCGACATAACTTAGGTCAAGTTACCATGGGGTCTACACCATGGGGGGTTGATGGGAGAAAATCTCCCGTTGACTTACCTTACTCTTGTTGGGGGTAGAGTAAAGGGGTCGACTGGAGAGCGATCTGCAGTCGATTTGGTGGGTCTTTACTAGACCCGCTAAATCGACCGCTGGTGGATCGACCTCAGAGCATCGATCTCTGCTGTAGTGTAGACCAGCCCTGAGGAGGATATGTAATGTTCTCTTCACCATGCAGTGACACATACACCTGCACCACACAGATACAGTTATTCTGAAGATGTGCTGGAGGCCCCTACATCACGGAGGATAAGTATAAATGACTTTGAAATAAGGCAGTTTGGAGAGCAAGCTTGATATCTCAGTACATTTTATCACTAGCTAATTTCAGATCTTTAGAGACGAGCTACTGGAACTACCTTCTTAGCTCTCTACTCAATAAATGCCAGTGGTATTACGATTGTGGGTGCCTAAATGACATCATTATGAAGGGATTCCAGACTATTTGTTCTTTCTCCATCACTTTCTTTGTTTTCCCCTTGTAGCTCTTCTCTCCCTCCTCCTCTGCTCCATTTTCTAATTTCCTTTTTTCTTTCCTCTCCCACTTACAACTCTGAATTTCCTTGCTCTCTCACTTATTTCCGGCTAGAATGCCACCGTGTCTTGATTTTCCATTTCTGGCCACCACTTTCAAACATTTTGTTTTTCCTGACCATGCATAGCTGTTTGGTGGCACTTCTGTGTTGCAACTCTTCTTGGGCTGGGATCCATCCAACTAGAGGGAAATCTGGCTCATTAAATCTCAGTCCCTGAGTTCAAACTCCCACCTCCTTTTCTGTTCATAGTGGGCCTAAACCAAAGCTTCCTCAAATCAATGGAAAGGCTCTCATCGAGTTCACTGGGGTTTGGATTAAATCCTAATTCCTTTGTCGCTTCATTGACTTCAAACATGTATCTTGCCCAGGACTAGATTACCTTTCATTCAAAGAGCAGAGATGACCCTTTCAAAAGCTTCCAAAGACTGGGTCTTTCTGTCAAATGGAGTGCAGTTCAGTACTGGCTTTATTTTTAAGAGACTTTCTCCAACATATAATTAAAGGGTAGAACAGGTTTTATAATGTCAAGAAAGGTAGGGAAATATGGGATTTGCATAAGTACCCTTCCTCTAGCATTTCAGCTTCCACCCTCAAAAGCTAACTTAAGCATTTGCAGGATTGGAGTCTAACTTTAATGTATTTTAACATTTTGGAGTTCCAAATGTTTGTGCAACACAGAAACAGAATAGGTGACTAAAATAACTATTTTTGAGAACAGCTGAAATAACAGGCTAGCTACATGTTCCACTCTCTGATGAAAGGAAAGATTAAAATCACCACATGAGAGGCACACAGAAAACCTCAAAACCATAGAAAAGGCGGGTGGAGCATACTTAGGAACTTTCTTTAATTTATTGTTTAAGCTTTTTATATTCTCAAGTTTTCTAAATGAATGTAAAACCACTGTATGGTAAATCACAGAACTAGCTTTAGTAGGACACTTAATATGGTCTCACACATATATCATTTTTCATGGAGGAACCCATAAGAATGGTTGTGGAGAACAGTTTCTTAACCACCTTGTGGCAGCTGATTTGCTAATTACTACCAATCAATACCTTAATTTTTATCTAATTTGGGAAAATAATTTCACTGGATTACATGTATTTAATCAGCGATGAGATCACTGCAAGGTAGTATTGTGTGACTACTACATATGTAAATTATATCAAGACGTGCTATATAATCAAGCAGGACCATTAATACATTTTAAAAGGACAGCACAAAGTGAAAGCCCAAACAAGAGGTTAAATCGAGAACATTGAAAAACTAGTTGTAACGGACTATAAGTGTGAAATAGTTTGTGATTTGAGAATTTTGATACCTGCCACAATTTTTGAATCCATACCTGTCTTTCTTGTTGCAGTTGTTCTTGGAAGAGCTTCCACTGCTTTTGTCTACAGCTGTCCCATTTCTCTAACTGAAGGATCAAATTCTCCTGACATTCTTCTTTTAGAAGTTCACATTCTCTTAAAGACAGACCAGTCTTGGTAGGAAGAGTCTGAAGAAATAACTCTTGCACCAACTCCTCTAAAGCATGGGAAGTTCCAGAACACAGTTCCTAACAATAGAGATACAGATTCATTTATGTCATTGCTTACATCTCATTCCCTTGACCACCTTCTCCTGCTCTCTCTTGGCATCCCAATTCTCCTGCTTTACACAGCCCTTCATTTCATTCTCCCACTTTTGGTTTTGTAACTTCTATCTTCCTGCTTCTATCCAGCTGCCTGTTCTCTTGCACTCCTCTCTCTCTCTCTCTCTCCTTGAAAACTATCCTTATCCCTCCTTATCCCTCCCTCCCCGCACACCTCTTTAGGAAATACTTCCCTCTTATTATTAACTCCCAGATCATCCTCCAGAACTGTTCCCCCGTATCTTCTTTTATTTAGGCCCCAATCCTGCCATCACTTAAGCACATACTCATGTGCATAAAATTTAGCAAGTCCACTGGAGTTACGGGAAAGGATGGGTCTTGTAGTTTAAGCTCTGGCCTAGCACTCAGAAGATATCAGTTTAATTCCTGGCTATGCCACAGACTTCCTCTGTGATGCTGGGCAAGTTATATAATCTCCTTCTGCCTCTGTTTACTATCTCTAAAATGGTAATTCTACTCGCTGTCTGCCTTGTCTTTTTTTAAACAGTAAGTTATTTGGGAGAGGAACTGTAAATACAGCACTTAGTACAATGGGACCCCAATAGGGCCTCTTAGCACTACTGTAATACAAATACATAGTAAAAAGTTATATGTACGTATGTGTTTGCATGATTAGGTCCATGAACTGTAATATTTTCGGTGTCTTAAGTCTGATCAGTAGCCTTGATTCCACAAAGATTTATGCATGTGTTTAACGTTAAAATATGCATAATACCACTGAAATCACTGAATATTTAAAAATAAAATCTAAGTAATTCAGGACCAAGTGGAGGACACAATGAGATCAATGGTAGTTTTGCCAAGTGACATTAGGGTAACCAGGATCTGGCTATTAAAGAACGTTGTGCTTGTGAAAGATGCAAAGAATAAGTACCATACTGTGTGTGGAAAGGGTGCTATCCCTTTAAAAGCAGGGCAGGCTGGGAACCTCCTCCAGGATATAAAAGAAGAGATTAGCAGCAAGACGGCAGTTTGGCTCAGACACTGATGAAGGACAAGCTAGCAGTACTACAGCAAATGGCTAGTAATGGACCCCAGGTTGGAGGTATGGATTGTGTCAGATTTTATTTTTATTATTTGTTCCTTCTTCTCATTGTTGATAAATGGGGATCTGGCTTTGTGTCTCTTTAATTTTGACAATTCTTAGCCTCTGAACTCTAGCTGATTCTGCATACA